TCTCTCTCTCTCTCTCTCTCTCTCTCTCTCTCTCTCTCTCTCTCTCTCTCTCTCTCTCTCTCTCTCTCTCTCTCTCTCTCTCTCTCGTTCTGCCTGGGGCACTGGAAAACAGCCCAGGGGTTGACCTACGGTCAGAGTCCTTAGAAGTTGCCTGAGTATCACTGGGAGGCCTCGGGGATCCTGGAAGCTTTTCACTGCCACTATGCAGGAGAGCCACAGAAGGAATGTGTCTCCTTCTGGGATTCCAAGGTCTTTTTCTCCCAGATAAAGGGTGCCCTATTGTTCCTGCTTTTGCTTTAGAAATGCATCTGTCTCAGAGGTTGACACCGTGGGGGAGTTGAATAGTGGCCAGGTGCATGGGCTAAATATTCTACTGTCAGTTTTGAAATGTAGATGCTATGGGTTTCTTTTTTTGTTGTTGTTTTTAAGGAAATGACAAATGTTGGGTGGGGGGTGGGGTGCAAAAAGAGATGGAGACTTGGTGGGGCTCAGCAGGGTGTTTGGAACTTCTGCCTTTTAAAGTCATCTCAGCCTCCAGTTTTCAGTTGGAGTTCTGGTGTTTAACACTTAAGGGAGACAGAGTCTGTGTCCACTTGGCAAAACTCCACTGGCCACAGGACCCTTGGCTATTTGTTGAGTCAGGCAGTCTGTCTGACTTTAAAGACGTGGTAATATCTGCACTTCAGAGAAATAAAGGCAAATGTGACATCTTTCCCTCTAAGCCCTTAAAATTGTACCTTGATCATCTGGGGTGAAGGAGACGTTCCTATTCTGGGTTTCCATGCCCCTCCATGGTCTGTGTACAGATCCTGTGGGCCTTGAACTCACTGAAGTCCCTAGGGGTCCTCTTGTTTTCAGTGTTCTGATTTCTCACATAGCCCAGCCCCATTTTCTGGTCTCTGCGTTCAAATTTTTCTGTAGGTGGCAATATGCAACCCTGTCCTCAACATCAGGGGGACCACGGGTCCCCTCTATGGCACCCACAGGGGAGAACTGGATTGATAAAGAATGCAGTTCCTCAAAATCTCCTCTGACAGAGTCGGGCTCCTTCTCAAGGCAAGTGGTACTGTTTCAGTGACCTCCCGGGACCGGATGGTCTCAGACAGTGCACCTGATGGAAACCACTGATGGCAAACAAATACTTTATTTCCCATTTATTTCCTGTCATTTTGTTTGAGGTATGTGAATCCTTGTTTTGGGGAGCTCAGAGGCCACAGCAGTGGATAAATGTTCACCAGCCAAGTGACCATTGACAAACCATTTATCCAGAGGGGCCCCAGGTTGCCTGGCTGTGGCACAGCCAGAGCTTAGGGAGAGGTGTGCCCTGCTGTGCACTAATTTCTTGGTAGACAATGTTTCTCTGTCCCATGACCTGTCAGGCAGCAGAACAAGCATGGTCAATGGAGACACGGAGAAGATTTCACTTGGCAATAGGCTCTAAGACTGGGGAATGCAGCTCACTCTGCCCACTCCTTCCTGGATTTCAGGTGACGGTCCCTGCTCTTTTTTTCTCATTCATTATTTAGAGAAGGATGATACAGAAGGACAATTCCCCCCAGATGAAGAATCTGAGGAGTGTAGAAAAACCAAAGGTAGAACAATTATCCAAAATTGTCTTAGGAGGGACTCTGGGAGCATCTTTTGTAGCAGGATTCCACCCTGTGTGCAGCCGGGCTTCAAGGCAAAACCAGCCATATCTGGGTTCTGCCTTGGTCGCACACACACCTAATCATCACCTTCATCGTCGTAACATCGTGGTGCTACACACCCGCATGCCGCTTTTCACCAGGCTCTGCTTGGGGACAGGAGGGAAGCAGGCTGCAGGCGCTGCCAGCCTTGCCAGGCCACCTGGAGCCCCGAGTGTTATTCAGTGACAGACTAGCAAACCTTTGTGAAGGTCCAGTCTAGCATCTCCTTCCTGTGATCAGGCAAAAAAGTGACTAGAAAGTTAAACACTTATATGTGTATATTTGTGTACATTGTGCAGGGTCAACTGAGTTGGAAATGGATTTCTTTTCTCTTGAAGTTGCTATTTTCTTTTAAGCCCTAATCATGAGCCCTTGTTTGAGCACGTTGTCACTGAACAACCTTTCAATGGATGGATAGGACCATGAGATACTTTTGTTCCAACCTTCTTTTACACAAATATTTCTGTGAATCCTAATCATGAGCCCTTGTTTGAGCACGTTGTCACTGAACAACCTTTCAACGGATGGATAGGACCATGAGATACTTTTGTTCCAACCTTCTTTTACACAAATATTTCTGTGAAAACTAAGAGAACAGAGATGAGATTTGACACCGCCCCCAAAAAAACTAACACAGTTTTTTAAAAAAAACCTAATACAGGAAAGCCTTTTCCTATTATTTTTCTTCTTAGCTCCTCCATTGTCTAAATCAGGAAAACAGGAAAACGTTGCTTTCTAGCAGCTGCAAAATGGTTCAATGCTCCCGACATATTTCCATCACCTTGAACAATAGCCTCAGCATGGGAATCTGAGATATGATCCCTGAAAACATCTGTCCCTACTCTGGCTACAAAACCATGGTTTAAATCTGTATGATCTGTGGTCATAATCCAAATTCCCTATGTATTCAACAATCAGATGCCCTCCTCCGTACCAGATTCCTGGGATGCATACTCCCCAAAGAGCTCGTTAGAAAATGAATCATTCTGTGATCTGCTCCTGGAGACAGTGCCCATCTGTTTTAGGTAGAAACTCTGGAATTCCTTTCTTGCATTGTTAGTCTTGCCTGCAAGGTGAAGGTGGCAAGTGGTTCCTTTCAACAGATTGGATCTGCTGCCCCACCCACCGAAGTTCTTTGTGCATATTTGGCTTAAGCTTGAATTACATTGTGTGCAAGGCCTTGTCAAATGTGATTGTAAATGTCAATAATTGCTTCATGAACACTAAATGAGAATGTAAGTATTTTTAAATATGTGTATTTGAAATATGTTTGACTAATTCTGGAATTATAAGATTTCTGTGCAGAATTTATTTTTATCCTGT